TTTCCAAAAGTCATTCAATCGTGATTCTTAAACTTGAATAATAATAATTGAAAACTTTATTATTGTTTGCAAATTCAGATGAATGCTTGAAATATGGGAGGTGATACCTATGAGGCTATAACATCTATAAGGACCTAAATATCCACATGGTATTGGATAGCTAGCATCTACCAAATAATATTTATTTACCAATAGAAATTGTAGAAATTAATTAAAGATTGAAACAAATGATTTTAAATTGGCTAAATATGAAATATACGTTGAGGTGGATGTGAAAAATTCATGTTCTACCTTGTGAGTGCATTGTCAAATATATGAGCATCATGAGCAGTCCCTTCCCATCTAGCCATGGTAAGTAAGGCACGTATCCCAATCATATACGGCCATTATATTTAATGTTAGAATGCCTTTCCTTCCAATATATTCCCCTTGCTCTTTAAAACTCACCACACATGAGATATGTGTTACATTAATTGTTCCTATGGAATTTTTGAAAAATGGCCAATATCGTGGATTGTCTAAAATTTTTGGATGTATATTTTAAAAAGTGTGATCTTTTGATTTGACATATTCTTTCACTAGTTTCTTACAAGCACGCAATGCATTATTAAAATGCTTATGAATAGTCTTTGCTAAATGTTGAAACCATTCCTGTGCCATCCTATTGCCCACCCCATGTCTAAAAATATTTAGAAACATGCCAACTATTTTATAAACCCTTGTTCTTTTGATTACCATGTTGCATCAATCCATCACAAAATTGAAGAAAAATATCCTTTTTCATGTGGAACATGTTATAACAATACTGAGGATACCCATGCAAAATTTCTTCCACTTATGCATGATCTGATTGCAAGTTGTTTCTATAAGGTTCTTTAAATAAATATGTTATTAAATAATTAGCTATTATTATAGTAATAGCCTCAACCTCATCTTTTTCCTCTTGTAAAAGTAATTGTAATAAATGAGACTATCTACTTTCATCCATAAAAACAACATAACATAATGTAACAATTATTACACCATTATTTATAACTTAAAAAAACACACACAAAACAAGAGTTTAATAACACAGTAAGTTTTAAAAACAAAGTTAACAACATAAACAATACTAGGGAAGGCAAGCAAGAATTGATCTTTATTGCCTTTATAGCCAAGCATTTCAAATAGGCCACCAATGCTCTTCCATTTCCCTTGAGCCCAATATACATCCCCTTGTAGTCCTATCTAGTAAGGCCACGTCACAATTTTCAATAAGTGCCTCATTACTTACAATCTCCTTAAGTTGATAAAGTTTTATTGCAACATTCAGAACAATGGGATCAATTGGTCTTATTGCACTCTCCATTAAATTACGGGTCGACTCATTATTGTATCCCTATCCTTTTGTGTAGTAACCAAGCAACTCATTACATAAACCATGACATATGCAAGGGATTTTCCCTTTATGTTCTAACTATTTTCACCTCTCTTTTGCTTGCTCCTTAAACTGGTACTATCATTGTGTGCATTAACATTATTCAAGTTAATATATTCAATCTCAGAGATAAGTCCTCCACTTATCTCCCTTACATTATCACTATCTCCTAAGCTTTTGGTCAAATCCATTCCAGGCCTATATACATCTTTTGGATCATCAACCACAAGTGTCTACATGTATGTGCCTTATGCTGCAACAAGTTGGAATAGTTTTGTCAATTGATGTACATATGGAAGTGCTTTATGTTTGAATTTTTTGTATTCTAAACTCTCTTGCACATTTATAAGAACTTAGTGCAACATATTTAAAGAATAAAACATCAAGCATATAACAATACATTTAAAATTTTATACCTTAATCTTTTGATTCCAACACTTATCTAGTGCTAATATAGTATTATTTTTCCAATCCCATCTTAGGCCGGTTTCTTTATTCAACAATTTATCTTATAGATTCTAGTCTTTACTCAAATTATTCCACTTGTTTTTCAATTGCTTCTTATCATAACTTCTTAAGCTTAATGCAATAAAATATTGCATTAGCACCTCTTGATCCTTCTTTGATAAGGTAGAGCCTTTATGCTTATTTTTTTTGACTTGTTGTAAAGCTAATTTGATAAAGAGTTTAGTTTGTTTTGTAGTCTATAATACCTTCTCTTTACTCATATTTCTTACCAAAATATCATATTCTTAATAATCAAGTTGGAAGAATTAAAATATTTATACATAATAAGTATATAGATAGATTATGCAACCTAAAGACAAGTACAACCCAAAATACAAAGACTTTTCCAAATGCATACCATCAACAATTGAAGGGGATGGTAAAGTAACAGAAATAAAGCTAACTATCAAACCTAATAAAGCTAAAATATTGACAAACTGTTCATAAGTTAATTTGTAACAAAAGAAAATAATTAATTTCACATGTTTTCTATGAGGTCAAATAATATCCGCCTTAATTCTTCCTTTGAAATTGTCCATCATTTTTACTTGTGTTGTTCTAATGCCAAGGAATATTCTTCTTTCCAACTTTAATTTTTATGAAAATTTGTTCATGTTTATTGGTTGCAATGCATGGCAAACTTACGCAGCATAAAAATGAAAGTCATTTTAACTACTCTAGCTATTAGTTACAGATGCTAAATTTTTTCCAACTAATGACAATGACAGTGAGAGATAGGGGTAAACATTAATTCTACTTCCATACAAGACTTATGATTTAATTTAACCGTCTTCAATGTATTTTCTTTACAAGAGATAGGTCATAACAATGATGCACACGAACTAGGACTTTTCCTAAATAAACAAATAAAATCCAAATATTTCAACAATCTCAAACACAAGTTGTTCAAAACCCCACAATCACCTTTGTGCATTAAAGCAGCCTTCATTATGAAGCCAAAAAACTAATCCCATAATCACTTATGTGTGAGTGACTTTGTGAGTTTCCTTGATAAGAAATTGGCTACAAATCATGTCATTCTCTAAATTTAAAAGATCAAGAAGCTAGCAATCTCAAAATTTTCATTCTTTGCTTGAACATATAATCAAATTCAAATCGAGAAAGCTCAAACAGAGAAACAAAGGAAGTAATAAAAAATGTTACCTCTATCTCCTTAGAATCAAACCTCAATATACTTGTATAGACTTAGCCAAACTCGAACCCAAATGCTTGTAACTTCTCAACTGCATTAGTCCCTTGCTTCGATCTCCTTTAATAATCTCTTGAACAAGCAGCAAACCTAGATGTTTGCTTCTCTCATCTCCAAAATATCCTTTAAATGCCAACAAGAACTTGATCTATGAGAGAATCAAAGTATTAGGCGTGAGTGGACTCTGATTTACTCATCTAGAATGGCACATGATGAAACTAAAGAGGTCAACAAAACAAGAAAAAGAACACGCAGAAGGAAGAAATAGAGGGAGTGATGTTTGATCTTGTCATCGAATGATAGAGAAGTGACGGTGACGCAAGAGATGGGGAGGAGCAACGATGCAACAGTGAAGATGAGCACTCGACTTGCACAAGAAGAGGAGATGACAAATCATTTAATGCTTTGAACATCCATTTACGTTTTGAAAGTAACTAGATTGAGTGTTCCAAAATCCATACTCAAAGGCTCTTTGAAAGTCCATTTGCAAAGCCCATTCAAATTGCATCTAAACAACTTTTAACATTCCAAAAGTGGGAAAGTTTTTTTGGCTTGTGAAAAGTAGCTGACCCAAACAGACCCGTAATCTACATATAAAAACTTTTGCATGATTCACTAGTTTAAAAAAAAAAACTTTTGCATGATTAATTTGGAAGCATTTATTTAGAGAGTTAAAAGAGAGAAAGGTAATTAGAGAGAATATCATATTTACTTTACCAAAAAAAGAAAGAAAGAGAAGATCATACTTAAATTTTGACTTTGAAAGCTAGAAAGAGAAACATGATATTAATTGACAAAAAGGAACGCGCGCGCACACACACACTCTTTTTGATCTTTATTATAGGATACTTTTAATTGTTGTTTTTTTTTGATATTATAAAAAAGTAAGATGTATTTTCATTTTAACTTTTGACTTTAAATAATAATATAATTATATTAAATACCTTTACGCTCATCAAAAATAGGTAAAATTGAAAAAAATAATTTAATTATTACAAGATGCTTTATATTTTGAATCAAAAATTATTTTTAAAAGGTGTTTTATAAATAGAATCGAAGGAAGTATATATTATTCTGTTACATTTATTAATTTTTTTGGCCATGTATAATTTGTTTCGTTTAATTAATCATCATATATTCTGTTTATATTTACATTTTCATAGGCACGTTATTATTACATTAAAATGATAAAATGCCGAATGCGAAGCTAGCATTTGAAAATTTAAATATGAATATAATCATCCTTTACATAATCATAAATTAAACTATGGTATTCTTAAACAATCATAAGTGAGTGAAATCATGTTAAGGAAAAAATGTGAATGCAAGATACCGTCATTCATTTTTTGGCCTAATAAGAGATACCTCCATTAATTTGCAACGGCACGAATTTTAACTCGATGAACTAGAAAACAATATTTTTCAGTGATTTTGATTTAACCATAATTTAATTTAATGTTAATTTTAATACAAGTGCTACGTCCCTCTTCCCGCTTCTCAATCCCCACAATTAAACCTATCGGAGGCGCTTTCATTCCTTCGGAACGTAATTTTTATTAAACCGGCCCATCTAAAGTACCACCAAAATCATGACCCTTTTCCGTCAACGCGCCTTTATCTTCACGTCACATAACGCGCTTACTAAACGCCCTACCGCGCCACCTACTCCGCCCCTCCAATTCGCCACCCGTCCCCCGCTCCCGGGCGTCCATTCACGCGCTGAGCTGCCGCATGGGCTTAAATCTGCGTCAAGAACGTGAATTTGAAAATAAATACCACCTCTGTCAGCAAAAAAAAAAAAAAAAAAACCTCTACTCTATCACAGTTAAGTGGGAAAAATTGAAAAGAACAGGAAACCAAAAATATTAAAAAAAAAAAAAGCCTCCCTTGCTCATTCTCTCTCCTCTCCGCGCACTCTCCCTCTGTTGTTGTGTTTTTGAAGCGAAGATTAAAAGGCGTTGAGAGGTTCCTTACTTCCCCCTTTTGTTTATTCTTCTCGCCGGCTCTCGGCTGAGACTGCAAAGGAAAAAAAAAAAAAAACGGGGGGACGCTCTGTTTCTCTCGTCTCTTTCTCGATTTTTCTCTCAAGAATTTTGTCCGCATTCGCAGAGATCGTTAAGGTTGGGGGTGATTAGATTCGTGGATTGTGTGAGTGAAAAATGTCGGAGGAAGAGAAATTGTTGAAGGAGGCGAAGAAATTGCCGTGGGAGGATCGGCTGTTCCACAAGAACTGGAAGGTGCGGAACGAGGCCAACATCGATTTGGCAGCACTCTGCGACTCCATTTCCGATCCCAAGGATCCTCGCATCCGTGAATTTGGTGAGTTTTCGTTAGGGTTTCCATCTTTAATTTCAATGGGAGGTTGGTTTTCGATCCCTGCGTGGTGGATCTAGCTGTTTTCTTGAGTGTAATGAGTAGGTAGTGTGGTGCATTTTGGTATAAGGATCTTATTTAATTTTTATTTTTGAATATGCAGGTCATTTTTTTAAGAAAACTGTGGCGGACTCTAATGCCCCGGTGCAGGAGAAGGCGCTTGATGCATTAATTGCTTACTTGCGAGCAGCTGATGCCGATGCCGGAAGGTTCATATCCGATGTTTTTTAATATGCTGCTCGATTTTCTTTCTCTTGGATGTCTTGCTATCCGCAATTTTTGCTTATTAGCCGTTGCTCTGGGGGGAACGTGAATTTCAAAATTGTATAGGTACGCTAAGGAAGTCTGTGACGCCATTGTCGCAAAGTGTTTGACTGGGAGGCCAAAGACAGTGGAGAAAGCTCAGGCATCTTTTATGCTCTGGGTAGAATTGGAAGCAGTGGATGCTTTTCTGGTATTTTTCATTCGAATGTGTAGTTGTCATTGAATAGTTTCCTCCCTCTTTGATTTATCTTACAATTTGTTTCAGTCCTTGGGGGTACAATAATCACTTTAGTCACGTTCAGTTAACAATATCTGTACTGTAAGTAATTGTTGACAACTTTGTTCTGGAAGTCATGCAACCTCTTAACTTGGGCTCAAAGTTTTTAAAGAAAACAAGAACGCCAATATTTTAAAGCTCCCCTGCTTTATTAATAATATTTGAAAGTTGTTAATCAAGACCTCTTTATTAATAATATTTTTAAAAACTTAATAAATGATAGAGTACAATGGTGTTGTGTAATCTATGTAGCCAACCCACATAGTGGGATAAGGCTTGTTGTTGTTGTCTCTTGCTTTATTACATGACTATTAGGGTGACTTCCAACTATTATGTGCTAAGCTCTAAAGGGAAGGGGAAAAAGCTTATCTATCCGAAAGGTTTACTGGGAAATATGTAATTTGCATCCTTAGAAAACCTCCATGAATTTGAATAAACTCATGAGTTTGACAACTTCACATCTATTTCCTCTAAATAAAGGTTCAGTTCTTGTCTTCTTTCAAATCTTGATTGTTGATAACTTTTATTCAGAATTTAGTTCGCCTCACTTTTGTTAGTCCTTTGGTGTAGGCGTAAATTTTGGTTCTTGATTAGCTTATTTGGGGGAGAATCTTTTTACGCATAGATCGCTATACACCTGCTAACCATATTTGACTGTTATTGATATATTTTAGGATGCTATGGAGAAGGCAATTAAGAATAAAGTTGCTAAAGCTGTAGTACCTGCAATAGATGTCATGTTTCAGGCATTAAGGTTTGTAACTTCTTGTTTGCAAACTTGGCAACAATTTCTTTTTTCCAATGGGTATTTCGTAAATCTGAATCTGTTCATATTCTATTAGTGAATTTGGAGCAAAAATTGTGCCCCCTAAAAGGATTCTGAAGATACTTCCTGAACTCTTTGACCATCAAGATCAAAATGTCCGGGCATCTTCTAAAGGATTGACTCTTGAGCTTTGTCGTTGGATTGGTAAAGATCCTGTAAAGTCAATTTTGTTTGAGAAAATGAGAGATACAATGGTACGTCAATTGGTTTTTGCTTATCTCTACTGCTTTTGTTCTCCTGTTTGGAAATCATGTAATGCTTTATTTCTGTAGAAAAAAGAGCTGGAAGCTGAGCTTGCAAATGTTACTGGAACAGCTAAGCCAACACGCAAAATAAGGTAGTTGTCTTTGAATTTTACATATTGGGTTTTCAATGCAATTGTAGCTTCATTCCTCTGCTCAGGAATTGTTCTGGCATCAAGGTATTAGAATGTTCTTTTAAGTGGGCCATGCCTAGGAGTAAAAGGGACAAAGGAAATGGATAGATGATGGTAATGCAACACACATGCCACACTTTTTTATCTTATTTCATGGCTTCAAATTTATTCTGATCTTGAATCTTTTACTTTATCTTATGTGAATTTACGTTAAATCCATAAAAATGATCTACTTCTATGATTATCCTAGGTTTCTTTGCTAGATATCTGTTCCTTTATCAATCATATGGTCTTGTAGTTTTCTTTTGCCTGTTCATTCCCTTAAAACATTGTTTCATTATGTTCAAGAGCGTCACCTGCTGTGCACTGCATAGAGACATAAGCAAAAGGCACATTTGTATAGTTTTTTAATGCTCCAAGACAATGATTGCAGGCCTTCACATTTCTTATATTTATGATGATATTTGGGAGACATACAATTTATGAATTAGACAACCAGTTGGGTGAAGTAATTTCTTTTGAGCATCCTTAGCAAATGCACCTGATGTGGCATCTATCTATCCATTCATTGTTATGTCTTGAGCCATTGCGTATTTAAAACATTTTCCCCCTATTTCATAGATCTGAGCAAGATAAGGAACCTGAACCAGAAGCAGTTTCTGAGGTGGTGGGCCCTGGCCCTTCTGAAGAATCTGGAGCTGATGGTAAGGAATTGGATTTAGACGCTTGAATATGTTTTTTCTCGAACATGTCTGGCCTATTACTGAGCCACCAATCATATGCTTATGCTTGTTCTCTAATCGTTTTAATTTCAGCTCCCCGAGAAATTGATGAATATGAGCTTGTTGATCCTGTTGATATATTGACTCCTTTGGAGAAGTCTGGATTTTGGGACGGAGTGGTTAGCTTTCTCTGCCATCTGACTGATCATAGGCTTGTTATCTCATGAAACCCTTTTTTTTTTTTGTTGGGTATTTCGAATTTTTCTTGCTTGTCTTTATTTCTTATGCTGTCTTGTGTAAAATTTTTAGAAAGCTACCAAATGGTCTGAAAGGAAGGAGGCAGTTGGTGAACTGACCAAGCTTGCGTCAACTAAAAGAATATCTCCTGGTGATTTTTCTGAAGTTTGTCGGACCTTGAAGAAGGTAGTTTATATTTTATTTTTTAAATTTAGTGACTTAGCATGTACTTTGGATGGTTGGATGATATTGATGTAGTACTCAGTAGAAAGTACTTGTGGTTGCTTTTGCCTCTCTTTCACGTTTTGTGAGCAATAATAACTTGAAGATGGGGCATAAAAATGATTTGGTCATTAATTGCTATCCATTCAACACGCTGTGCTTGTGAATTTTGGTAAGCTAAGAGAGGATATGATGTATTTTATGCAAGTACATTAATGGAACAATTATTAAGAGTATAAGTTTTTGTTGCATGAAGGGAATCAAAGGAGGGAAAATAATGCGTGTTAATTCCTAAAAGAATAATCTTTTTTAGGAAAACCATATACTGCACTTCTATATTTAATTGTGTAGTTAATTAAAAATTATAAATTTTTGGGTCCAGAATATTATTTTCTCATTCCATATTTGCATCTAATTACTCAATATATAGATTTAACTATGAGACTTTTTTTGAGGTACTGTGCATTTTTTTTTGGGGGTGGGATGTTAAACATGGATTCTTTCAGGACATGCTCAACGTAAGGATTCCTTTTAAGAATCATGGATTGAATGTTTTCCATATGTTATGTACTGGGTCTGATAGTAGAAGGAGCAGAATTGGGGAACTTGTATTATCCTCATGGTTTAGATGATCATCACATTACACATGATTTGATGAATGTCATCAAATTTAAGTGAGGCTCTTTTGTGCTATACAACACTTATGAAGGTTATCCGCTGATATTCTAAAGTTTAGGTGGGCTACTCGAAATTTAAGAGGGTTATCCAGACAAAAATAAAGCCTGATTCATTGCAAGTCAATGGATTAAATAACATTAGCCAATAGCCTGTTATTCTGAATAAGTAGGAATGTTTAGGAGAGTCCACTGTTTTGAATATCAGGGGACTTATTTTGCATATGCCCTGATATTTAGAGGGGTTCTGTGGACTTACTGCATATACTGCATATACCTGCATATAATTGCTGGTCGCCAATTTTTCCTCCTCTGGTCTTGGATTCTGATTTCAAATTGTTGGTTCTGCATAATTATGGTCCTACTTTCTGTGTGAGTTTTGTCCTTTTACTTTGTCATTTATGCATTCCGTTGTTGTTTTGCCTTCTAAAGTTGAACTTTTGGTTTTTTCTTGCAGCTAATTACAGATGTGAATATTGCAGTTGCTGTTGAAGCAGTCCATGCTATAGGCAATCTTGCTCGGGGATTAAGGACCCACTTTTCTGCAAGTTCTCGTTTTGTATTGCCTGTTCTACTTGTAAGTTGTACTTTGTAGTAATTGCTTATTTTGTCTGTCCCGATTTTGAGGGTGTAAGGTGCTTATACAAACATGTCTGATGCTATTAGTTTTATTGGCTAAAAATAATTTTTGATTGAACATGACTCAAGCTATTTCTGAACCCTTTCTATACCAGTTTGGCCAGAAAAACCTTTTTCAATACCAGGAACTACTTAATGGCTTTAATCTGTAAATGAAAGCATTAACTTGATAATAATTTCTCAGTAGTTTTTTCTTTTTTTTTGGTGCTACCATGTGATTGTTGAGGGGATTATTGTTAATTGCCTGAAGATATTTCTTCTCTAATGATTTAAATAATGATGTGCATGTGTTTCTTGCTTGTGTAGATTGTGCCTTCAGCCGTTCTTGAATTTGTCATTAATTTGCAAGTGTTTAGAATCAATCATGATTTTCAGCTATTTGTTTGGCACCTGTGTCTCTTCTTTTTGTGCGCCTAAGAATGCCAGTTTGCTTGCTCATTGGGCGCAGCAGTGTTGAGCTTCTGCATTTGTGATTAATTTGCAAATATTTAGAATCAATTATGATTTTTTCAGCTATTTGTTTGGCACCTGTGGCTCTTTTTGTGCACCTAAGAATACCAGTCTGCTTGCTTGTTGGGCGCAGGAGTGTTGAGCTTTTGAATAATGCTTAATGTTAGTTGATTTAGAAACGCAGGCTATCCAAAGATTGCCTTTGTCTTTTTTGCTGTTTCCGTGCCTTGTTTTCCCTTCTGTTATCTTAAACAGACATTGTCCGTCAAGCTATTTGGTTTGATGCCCAATTGAAATTGTTTCTGTTCTTTGGTAATCGTTTGTACACCTTGTGTTTACCTGGCAAAAAATTAGGGTTTTCTAATGATGGAAATAAGGCTTGCCTAATGTGTTTATTTGTTGTGTAGGAAAAATTGAAGGAGAAAAAACCTACCATGACCGAGGCATTAACGCAGACCCTGCAAGCAATGCACAAAGCTGGTTGCATAAGCCTTGTGGATATTGTTGAAGGTAGGTTTTCCATCCGTTTTGTTATTGAGCTTCATATCAGGTTTTGATTTAAATGGCTATGACCTAAAGGATTTGAGTTCGGGTTATTTGATTACCAGAATATAGACTTTGATTTAATTTGTTGTATGCAATCTGATTCAATGTCTATGCCTTGTTTGGTGTTTTTTCCCCAAAATCTAGTTAACAAGTGAACTGTTGTTTTCATTTTGAATAATAACTGTAGAAAAAAAACAATCTGATTCTGATGGAAGACGCTGGAACTCTTGGATTGTATTATTTATATCCAAAACCTGAGAAATACCTGAGCCTTAGCCTGTTAATTATGGATACATCAGATTCTTTTATTGTATGTATGTGGTGTCGCAGAATAATATTGAAAGAGAGAGGAATAGAGAGATAGGAAGAATAAGAGGGAAGAACAGAGAAGAGAAAGGAGTTTCAGAGGAGTTTGAGAGAATAGAGAATGAGAGACAAGAGAGAGATTTCACTGAATGGTGCGCAAATTGTTATTGATGTCGTAGCATAGGATTTACAAATGCATGTCATGGTATTTATAGGCCCCAATCCAACTTAATCATCAGGAGCTAGTATCCCGAGAGTAATATAACCAACAACTAACTACAACAGTCACAATTATAATGACATAACAGTTTGCTTTCGTACTACTGGAATTTCTGGTCAAAACCAAAAGATGCTCATCCATATATGGCTTACTTGTAGTGCACATAAACCTTTTGAGACTTTCAGTCTCCTTCCCTTTTGAACCAAAGTAGTTAAGTCTAATTATGAGGAATAATCCTTCAAGTGGGTGACATCTCTGAAAGATCTGAGGCAATAACTCCCTCTTCCATCAGCACATCCACATAGTTTGTGAGATTTATCTTTGAAATTTGAGTATTAATAGGTTTCTCAACATTCATGCTCAAACTGAACTGCTGGAGATTATACTAGTTTGAGCTTGTTACAAATTAAACTGAGTAGAAGAGAAAAAACAGGGCAATAACCAGCACAAATAAAAAGACTCAATCATTGTGTCAATATTCAAGATCCTTGGAAACTAGTGCTCCTCTTGTTGAGGGTACAAACAAGTTACAAAATTTTATGACCCAATCCTTTGTCATCTTGACTTTACGAAGAGTGCATCCCTTTTAGTGTCAACGTGACCTGGAATATGGAACAGCTCCAAAAAGGGCTTAATGCACTGATGGTCACTGGGCGTATCATGCTTTCTGAGAATGTTGCTTTAAAAGTGGCCGGAAATGTTGCCAAAGATGTGTAGCCAATGTTGATGTGTAGTCAAGGTGATCTGGAATATGGAACGGCTCCAAAAATGGCTCAATGCACTGGTGGTCATGGGGCATATCATGCTTTCTGAGAATGTTATTTTAAAAGTGGCCGGAAATGATGCCAAAGATGAGTAGCCAATGGTGATGTCACAGTTGTAGTGCCTGACTTCAGAAGGGTTATACTTGCAAGTGTATACAAGATTTGCTCTTCCAGAGGATGGCATTCCATATGATGTTGATGAAGCGATGACTGCATAGTTTCATGAAATCCATTTCATATCACTCCAACTTTGACTGAATTATTCTTAAATTTGATAGGTTTCTAACACTTACAAAACATTATTCAGAATGCCTTTGATGATTACCTCCCATATATCTGCCATTACTATATATTGCAGCTTGATCTCCTCTAAATATTCATATGCAAGAACGAGGACCCAGGCTACTAATTGTTAATTCAAGTTTTCTCTTTAGATGTGTTTGGTCCTTGATTTATGGTGTCATTGTTATGTTAATTTGTCTCGTGCCTGTTTTTGGTTGGATATATGCAGATGTCAAGTCAGCCTCAAAAAACAAAGTTCCTCTTGTGCGATCTTTAACCTTGACCTGGCTGACATTTTGTATTGAAACAAGTAACAAGGGTGTTGTCCTGAAGGTGCACAAGGATTATGTCCCTATCTGTATGGAGGTCAGTGTGCTCTGGCTTTTTGGTTGTGTTGTCATTTTGTTTCAAAAGATGAAACTTGATTGAAATTTAGAATGGGAATTAAGACTCTAGTCTTCTTTTGATTTACAGCTCTATTTCTTTTTCTTGTTTTAAATATCTGTGTTGGCACATGTTGCATATTTCCTGTATAGTAATCGCATGAGTTCTTGAGATAAATGGTTTATATCTCAGCGGTATCCTCATTCCTTCGGTAGGGGAACAGCCTAGAATAATCAAACTTGACTTTGAGGATAGATGAATTTGTTTACCTTGCTGGTGACTTCTGAGTTGGCATATGTTCTAAAGTTTGTTTTATGTCAACTGTGTTTCTCTGGAGAGCCTCTTAGATAATTGTCACGTCTGTTTGTTTTATCCCTTCTTCCCCCTTTGAAATAATACCATTTTTTTTTTTTTGCAGGGCCTAAATGATGGAACTCCAGAAGTGAGGGATGCTGCCTTTTCAGCATTGGCAGCAATAGCTAAGGTAACACTTGCAGCAATTGAAAGCTATGTGGACTTGCTTTCGTTAGTTAATTTTGAGCATCTTTTTGTTCTTTCTTTTGCAGTCAGTTGGCATGAGACCTCTGGAGAGGTCGATTGAGAAACTTGACGATGTCAGAAGAAAGAAGCTTTCTGAAATGATTGCAGGTTCCGAAGTTGCTCCACCTAGTGGTCCCACAACAGGTTTTTAAATTTGAGCGGTTGTTGGATGTGAATAGCCCTACAAATTTGAGTTTCTAGCTTTTGCTGACACTTTATGATGATTTTTCAGCTTCTGTGCAAAATGTCCGTGGGAGTGTGTTTTCTTTAGAGGTGGGGTTATTTTTTTCTTCATAGTTTATGCCTTTGTTTAGTTTAAAAATTCTCAGTTCAACTTGATTCTTTTGTCTCATTTGATTTGATGAAATGATGATAGTTGTCTTGTAATATGCTTGTTGATCATTAATGGTGGTGATAAAATGAGAGGTCTTCGTCATCCTGGCTGCTTTTTGTTTGTTATTCTTTTACTGTTTACTGTCTCGCAAAACTTGTAACCCTGAAGAAATTTTAATGGAAAGGTTTGCCTCGAATATCATGAATGTATAATATGAGCACCAATGACTTGTTGACCAGGAATTGCTGTCATTAAAAAGGCATTTAGAAAATATATCTATTGGGCAAAAGAGTGGGAGTATAATGTTTGGATTTTTTTTAAATTATATGTATGCTTTTACTTTTTACTTCTTATTTTTGGGAGACGTTGACACTTTTTTCCTCATTGGTGAGTCAGAACTCAGAAAGTACTTTTGTTAGAAAGTCAGCAGCAAGCATGCTTAGTGGAAAGAGGCCTGCTCAGGCAGCAGTATGTACATGCCCTTGCTTGTATGTTTTTGGTTTCTTTCATTTTGTCTGAATTGTTACACTGAGCCCTGCTGATTTCAGCCTGTCCCCAAGAAGGGTGGCCCTGTGAAGTCTGGGACTAATAAGGTTGTAGATGGAGGTGCACAGGTTAAGCCCTCAAAATCAATTGAAATCCCTGAAGACGTTGAGGTAAATTAATATCTTTCTTCTGGGACTTGATTTGAATCTACAGTGTTAGCTATGCATGTGATTTTTGATGATAGTATATTTTTTCTGTTTTACTGAACTACTTCAGCCAACTGAGATGAGCCTTGAAGAAATTGAGAGCCGAATAGGTCCTTTGATACAGCCAGATACCATTACTCTTTTAAAAAGTACTGTTTGGAAAGAACGTTTGGAAGGTTGGTGATGATCGATAACTTTATACAATATACGCTTAATTTGATTGATTTTGGCCTTCTTTTGAAGAGCTTTGTGGATATTGCATGGCTTTCTATTAGTTCTTTTGGTGATTTAGGACTTGAGAATTTGCTCAACTGAATTGTTTGTTTTCTTTCGGCATGTTTGCCTCTCCAATTTCTACACATATCCTGTTATTGCATCACCTTCTTTTGTGTTGCTTTGTTCTCTCGTCTCCCTTCCCATCATCGTAATTTGTAGGTATTATTTTGTTTGCTGGCATGAGATAATGGCTTTCATGTCTGCAATATGGATGTTCAAATTCCTTGCTAGATGCACCAAATTTTATCTCCCCTTGGTCGTATGAGACATGAGCTGCAATTTATAACATTTTAAGACAGCAAGAAGGTTTGTCATGGAGGATGCATTGACATTTATTTATTTTCTGAAGTGCTATGAGTTGGTATTTGATTTTATTTTCAAGTCTCTTGACTTTATGTTTACCGAACCCTCTGTATCCAAGGACACCTGGCTTGTTTGACTTGTCCAATCATCATCATCCATTCATTGTATAGGACTTAATAAATCTTGCTTTCTGTTGAAATTCTAGCTATAGCATGATGTTTGGGGATGGTGTATCCTCTGATTTTGTGAATAGTTGCAAGGTTATTCCCATGTTTAATTTTTTGAATCTTTGATGGTCTTATTTTTCTGTGTTTTCTATTATTCTTTTTACAGGGGCTATGCAATTAACCAGATAATTATTACTGCTTATAGGTGTCCTTTTTAGGATTGTATTTGTGTATAGTCCTTGATTAGTGTGATGAATACTGCTGAAGTGGTTGGTCTTTGCACTATATTCAATGGTAATGTTGAATAAATATTTACAAGTTAATGTGTTATTATCAATGCATGTCAGCACTAACATTATTTTATTGTTTCTGATTCTTTGTTTTTCTGTTCGTTTTGGGGGATAAATTCCTCATATTTCTCTGCACTTGGAATTTTGGTTGTATTTCCTTTTAATCTTAGAATATTAATATCAAATATACCAAAGATCACAAAAAGTCCAGTGCCCTTTTTTAACTCGTCTATTTTGTCAAATGTGTTCTCCTGTACAGTTTTATCTCCTAGTTTTTTTAGTGAAGTGTTAGCATGCTGCAGTGAACCTGCGATCTAGCACCAGTGAAGGTGAGGGTGTGCCAACTAACTACAAGGCTAGTTAGTTGAATATTATTGCTAGCATTGTCATCAGTTGCTCACTCTGTTTGTGTAGTTGACTGGAATTCTTTATTTTAAACAGCCAGGGAATATTTTGATTTGCACGTATTTTATGCTTATCATTGCATTGACATTATTTTGGTTTTTCCAAGTTTTGTTGTCATTGTGCTGCCTATTTTCTGCTTGACTTCCTATTTAGTCTTTCAAAATTTGTTGATGAGTATAATCACTAAGCTCCATATATCGCAGGCATTTCTTCATTGAAAGAGCAAGTAGAAGGCTTACAGGTCCTTGACCCGTCAGTGGAAATTTTGATTCGTTTACTTTGCTGTTTGCCTGGATGGGGCGAGAAAAATGTTCAGGTTCAAAATTAGTTTCTTTTATCATTTGGTTGGAAGGTTCATTAATAATTGGAAAACAGAAGACATTATTGGGTGAGGCAATCAGTGATTTGAATCTCCTCAAACAGGTTCAGCAGCAGGTTATTGAAGTGATCACATGTATAGCATCGAAAGCAACTAAGTTTCCGAAGAAGTGTGTAGTACTTTGCCTTTTGGGTATGTATTGTGGTTTGATTTGAAGGTGGTTTGCTCTGTTTTTTTTTTTTTTTATGGCCCGTAATTGTCAACCTCTTTCCAAACCTCATCTTTTTTTAATTTCTTTTTCTTTTTTAATTTTATAGGACTTAATGAACGAGTAGCAGATATTAAGACACGTGCACAAGCTACAAAGTGCCTTACTACTTTCTCTGAAGCAGTTGGTCCAGGATTTATTTTTGAAAGAGTAAGCATTCTGTTCCTATATATTCTCATCATTGGCCAGAACAGTGTGCTTTGTCTATGTCTGAAGATTAGTTGAGGAAAGATAGTTGGTTTTGTCCTCCTCATTAGAATTTGTTAAAATGTAGTTGGAGTGCTTTCAGGATCGCACTTTCAAGTTAGTGTCCTAATCAAGTTATCATGTCTCAAATGAGTTTCAATATTCCTGTTCCATAATCTTGTGGTGATTGTTTATGGACATACTGCAAATACATGTTTTTCTTGGCAGCTTTTAAGCATTTCTTTTAATAATATAGAATAAAAGGTAGCTTTCAAAATATTAGTTTCTTTTGTGAGACGCTCTATTTGTATTTTTTTTTCATTTTTTAAAATTAATAATAATCAAGCTTTGTTGTTGAAACATTACATTTATAGAATGTTTTTACAGTGGTGGAGTTAAGGAAATAAATGCAAGATCTTGGAGTGTTTGATTGCTAATATTGTGTTTGTGGGTAAATAAAGCCTAATTAGATTGTCTCAAGCAAGTTGTTATTTTCAGAATGTAATTTTATCTGGGATCATTTTCTGTTAATGAAGTTAGGACTACTTTGCTCAACCCTTCAAGAAATGTAGGTGTTACAATTTATATACCACTGGATACTTTTTCCTTGTTTGCATGTTCTTATGTTGTAACCTTGCTTGTATTTTATAATTTTTAAATTTCTTTTGTAGCTCTACAAGATTATGAAGGAGCACAAGAACCCTAGGGTTCTTAGTGAGGGGATTTTGTGGATGGTTTCTGCTGTTGATGATTTTGGAGTATCGCATCTGAAGCTTAAGGTGCATTATCTAAATTCTTATATCATTTTATTTCAAATCTTATCATTGTTATTATTAATGTTCTTGTGCTACTCTGGTCTGAACTTCACTGAGGTTTGATGCAATTTTAATTTTGCAGGATTTAATTGATTTTCTTAAAGAAATAGGGCTGCAGTCAAGTGCGGCTGCTACTAGAAATGCTTCAATTAAGCTTTTAGGTGTTCTGCATAGATTTGTTGGTCCAGGTGACTTTCATTTTATGTTCAAAGGACCTTCTGTTATCTCATTCATATAGGTTCTCAAGTTTTCCCACATGCAGACATTAAAGGGTTTCTTGCTGATGTTAAGCCTGCTCTGCTTAGTACCTTAGATGCTGAGTATGAGAAGAACCCATTTGAGGTAACCTTTTTATTTTATTGTTGAGTTTTAAGTATTTGAATGCTATTCTTTAATCTCTTAAAGTTCTCATTTGTTTGCTTCAGGGAGCATCTGCTCCTCCCAAGAGATCTGTAAGGGCATCAGAGTCAACTTCATCTGTGGTGGCTGGTGGGCTTGATGGCCTGCCTCGTGAAGATATCAGTGGAAAGATCACTCCCACTCTTCTAAAGAGCTTGGAAAGTCCTGATTGGAAGGTTTGATTTATAATAATCATCCAACTTTTCATTTATTTTGCTTTATTTGATATTTGAATCTTAGAATGTTGAGGAAGAATGACGTATTTTATGTTATGACATATGGATCTGTCTACTTTTCCATATTATAGGTTCGAATGGAGTCTGTTGAAGCTGTAAACAAGATATTGGAAGAGGCTAATAAGCGCATTCAAGCAACTGGAACTGGTACCCTAGTTGCTGTTTTTTTCCTCTCTTGAAAACTCATGACATTGTTTTTCCTTGTTCATTTGTGCTGTTTTGGAGTAATCCTACAAGTTTTGTTGTTATCATTATCATTAATTCTGTTAATCTATGTAAATTCTTATGGCTCCTTATCAGTGGAGTTATTTGGGGCTCTGAGAGGACGGCTCTATGATAGCAACAAAAACATTGTCATGGCAACCTTGACTACAATTGGCAATGTTGCATCTGCAATGGGACAAGCTGTAGAGAAGTCAAGCAAGGTTGGTGGATTCTGTTCTGCTTTCTTCTAATATCTCATTGCTTTGTTTAAAGTCAGGCTTTTGTGAAATGCTTTGTTGCAGGGTATTCTGTCAGATGTTTTGAAATGTCTTGGTGACAACAAGAAGCACATGAGGGAATGTACTTTGAATACTCTAGACTCTTGGCTAGCGGCTGCTCATCTTGATAAAATGGTGTGCATTGGTCCTCTATTGGTATTCGTTTATCTTGCTGTGCTTGTCTTGAATATGAGGCTCTTGTAGGTTCCTTACATTACAACTGCTTTGACGGACTCTAAACTTGGTGCGGAAGGGCGTAAAGATCTTTTTGATTGGTTATCAAGGCAACTTGCTGGATTAAGTAGTTTTTCTGAAGCTGCACAGCTTCTTAAGCCAGCTTCATCTGCAATGACAGTAATTTCTGTTTTCTATTCTGATACTAATTTGATTACTTTTTGTGTATCCTTTTATGAATGAGTCCTCAGGCCACACGCATAAATATGATCTTTAAAATAATATGCATGATGTCTTCTTAGGATAAATCATCTGATGTTCGCAAGGCAGCAGAGAATTGCATCAATGAGATATTAAAAGTTAGTGGAAATGAAATGGTATGTCTGCTGGTAAATTGCTCTTTCTCATCTGTTCTTCTAACTTCCACACATGGGCAAGCGTCTGAACATGTTTCAAATTATATTTTATTTAGATTGAAAAGGTTGCAAAAGAAATTCATGGACCAGCTCTAAATATAGTTCTTGAGAAGCTAAGGCCATATGGGTCTTTTCAAGGTAAGATCCTTGACACTGTTGCTTTTACTTATTTGGAATTTATCTGCCTGTTATCATGCTAGCTTCCACACGTCTAACTTTTCTTCCTTTTCAATATTCCTTTTTCCTCAGAATCATTTGAGTCTGTTAGAGCAGTTTCAGGAGGAGCGAGCTCAAAAAGTGTCTCAAAGGGTGGGAGATCTGCTGCCAATGGTGTTTCAAAACAGGGAAATAGAGCTGTATCTTCGGTATGGCTAATTTTACTTGGTTCAATTTGTTTTAGATGAAAATGAATAGATTTTTCTCACGGCATGTTTTCATCTTCTCAAAAGAGGGCCATGTTGACAAAGGGCACTAGGTTGGAAACAATTTCTGTTCAAGATATAGCTGTTCAGTCACAAGCTTTATTAAATGTTAAGGATTCAAATAAGGTAATTTGACTTAAGTTTGGGGTACTAATAATTGCTTCTTATTTTTAAGGATTCATTTATCATCTTTCATTTGGTTTGGCTTCCATTCAGAGTGAAAGAGAAAGAGTGGTAGTTCGAAGGTTTAAGTTTGAGGAGCCACGAATAGAGCAGATTCAGGAGCTTGAGGTGGGTTCTGTCTTTGAGCAATTAAAAACATACATGAATTATGAGTTCTGTATGATTGTTGAAATATAATAAATGTGTCTGTATTATGCTTTAATGTAGAGTGATATGATGAAGTACTTTAGAGAGGATTTACATAGGAGGCTCTTAAGTGCAGATTTCAAGAAGCAAGTTGAGGGTCTTGAAATGCTACAAAAGGTGCGTCACATCCTGAAGCTTGAAGTTTTGGAATGTTGTCATTACTCAAGTATTGTTGCATCATGAATTTTTATTTCGCATTACAGGCACTTCCATCCATTGCTAAGGAAGTCATAGAAGTTTTGGATATACTTCTTAGGTGGTTTGTATTGCAGTTTTGCAAATCAAATACAACATGTCTGTTAAAGGTGCCCTTTTGTTTTAACTTAAATTGTCATGAGTATTTTCTTTCTCTATGTTTCCTTGATGTCATTGGTCTTATGACTGCAATCTAATTGAAATGCATAGGTGCTAGACTTCCTTCCTGAGCTGCTTGACACCTTGAAGGATGAGGGATACTCCTTTACTGAGTCTGAAGTTGCAGTGTTTCTTCCATGTCTTGTAGAGAAGGTTAGTATTTATCATTCAGGATAATTTTGGCACTAGTGTGTGTGGGTGTGAATTGATAGACTTTATGATATTTTGAGTTCAATATATTGTTGGGTTGACCTTGGGTTAACTGATGGAAAAAGTTAAGATATCTTTTTTTTTAATTTAAATATTACAGTTGGGACACAACATTGAAAAAGTGCGAGAAAAAATGCGGGAGCTTACGAAACAGATTATTTCCCATTATTCTGCTTCTAAATGCTTCCCATACATATTGGAGGGCCTGCGCTCTAAGAACACCCGAACACGGATAGAATGTGCTGATCTTGTTGGTTTTATCATTGATAATCATGGTGCTGAGGTAAAGATAATGATACTTCCCAGTGATGTCTTGTATTCCATGACTCTTAGATATTTACTATTGTCATTTTGTGGACAGATTACTGGACAGTTAAAATCATTGCAAATTGTTGCAAGTTTGACAGCTGAGCGAGATGGTGAAACTAGAAAAGCTGCATTGAATACACTAGCTACTGGTTACAAGATTCTTGGTATGACATACTCTGCATCTGCTGAACTTATTTTTCAATTCTAATGGCAGGGTTACTTTTGCCTTCAGATTTTCTTTTACATATTATTTCATTGAGCTAGTTTTATTTGTCCTTTGATTTTTTTATATTTAAATTGGCAGATAGATTGATATCTATGTGTATGCATTAATTGATCTGTTTTGTTTAGAAATTTCTATGTAGGCTTTGAATTCTTGTATCATATCTTGGTGCTGTAGCATAATCCTTTCTTTGATCACATTCTTCAGGTGAGGACATATGGAAATATGTTGGGAAGCTAACAGATGCTCAAAAAAGCATGTTAGACGATAGATTCAAGTGGAAGGTCCGTACATAATTTGCTACTATCTCTGTGTTTCTTTTGTATAAATACATGTTGATACTGTGATTTTCCAGATCCGGGATATGGAAAAAAAGAAGGAAGGAAAGCCAGGTGAAGCAAGAGCAATTTTAAGGCGATCTGTCAGAGAAAATGGGTATGCTTTTTGTTTCTAAATAAGCCCCTTCCCCTGAAAAAAAAAAGAAAAAAGAAAAGAAGACGAAAAAAGAAAGAAAGAAAGCTGAGGGGCTGTGTTGTAGTCACTGGATTGTATTTCAAGCTTTGATCGTTTCTTTGTGAGTTATGGATCTAAACAAGCATATATCTGTCTGATTTTTTTTTTGGGGTTAAATACTTTTTTTGTGAGTTAAAAATATTTTTAACTAAGAAAGATTTGTTACGACGAATCGTAGCCCAGTAAGGTCAATTACATGGATCACATGATGTCTTTGGGCTCTATCAACAATTAATTGTTTAGAAATATCATTCACCATGAGATCATATTCTATAACTTACTCAAATGTCATTCTTGTTCTCTTTCTGTCTCTTTTCATAATGCTAATGATCGTTTGCTCAACTCTCATTGCCAACACTTCTAGTAGTCTTCTTGGCACTTGGTCCATGAGGCCTTAAATGATTTTTAACCATTTTCTTGTAGGCTAATGACAAGGTTTCTTCTTCTTGTTGCTGTTAATTTTGATACTTTGTAGATTCAAACCATTCTTTCACTTATCAGGTCTGATATTGCTGAGCAAAGTGGCGAAATTTCTAGATCTGTTTCGGGCCCAATATTGAGGTATGATGATGAAAGGTTATCAGAATTGGTTTTCTTCTAAAGAATTGCACTGCTTTTTCCACGTTGCATACTTCTTATTACTCATGATCATACTGATTTGTTGATGTGCCTTACAGGAAAAATTATGGTCATTCTGATATCCACATGGACAGACAGTCAATGGCCCATCCTTTCACTGTTGCTAGTGGCCCTACAGATTGGAATGAAGCACTGGATATTATTTCTTTTGGTTCTCCTGAGCAGGTAGAGGACTGGGTTCTTGGTGTTGGTATATGCATTCCTCAACATCCCATGTTAAATGTGTGCTTGTCTAGTGGATACAGATTTATTTGTTTCCTTTTGAGCCCTCTCTCTCTGTCCCTCACTTTTTTAAAAGATGGATGCTTATATCTGGGCTTTGACAATTGTGCGTTGCAGTCTGTTGAAGGAATGAAAGTTGTTTGTCATGAGTTGAATCAGGCCACTAGTGATCCAGAAGGTAATGTCATGGATCAACTAGTGAAGGATGCTGATAAACTCGTTTCATGCCTGGCAAACAAGGCAAGTTAAATTATTTGCATTTTTTCCCAAAAGAAATTTCCTATGCTTTGCCCATTTTTTGTTTTCAGCGATTAATTTCTATAATGGTGTCAATTGCCTACTCTCTGCAAATAGGTTGCAAGAACCTTTGACTTCAGTTTGACTGGGGCTTCATCGCGATCTTGCAAATATGTACTCAACACTCTCATGCAGGTAAATTTATGCCTAGTTTCTGTGTTTTGTTTGTGATTTTTTGTGGCATTTCTCTTTGGTCATTATTTGTATATGCTGATACTATGATATTTACAGACATTTCAAAATAAAAGACTGGCATATGCTGTAAAGGAGAATACTCTTGATAGTCTCATTACCGAGCTTCTTCTTTGGCTTTTGGATGAAAGGGTTCCTCATATGGATGATGGAAGCCAGTTGTTGAAGGCACTGAATGTGTTGATGCTTAAGATTCTGGTCAGGAACCTTTGTATGCCATTTACTTATAATTAAATCATTTATCTTTTGTAACATTACATGCATCAGTTATAACTTGTGCTTGTTTATACAGGATAATGCAGATAGAACTTCATCCTTTGTAGTGCTTATCAATCTCTTACGTCCGTTAGATCCTTCAAGGTGGCCTTCACCTGCATCAGTTGAGTCATTTGCCACGAGAAACCAGAAGTTCTCTGATCTGGTTGTGAAATGCCTCATCAAGCTTACCAAGGTTAGTGCTGTAGGGAGTAGTAAAAGCAATAGACGGCAGGAGCCCAAAGATCAAAGGGTTTATTAGTTTTGTTTATTTGCAATATTGAAGCTGACTTAAATAATTCATGATCTTAATGGATTGTAATGATTTCAAGGTTGTTAGAATCAGTGAACTTGGTTAGTGGTTATTTTTCCATTCCTTCAGTGTTTATTAATTTTATGATTGGGTTTAAAATTTGGGCATTTGGTGGTGTGTCTATACATGGGCTATGTGTCTCAATTCTTTTTAGATTGAACTTGGTTGTTAGAATCAGTGAACTTGGTTAATGTTTATTTGTCCAATTCCTTCAGTGTTTTATTACTTTCATGATTGGGTTTTAAATTTGGGTATTTGTTGGTGTGTCTACACGGGGGCTGTGTTTCAATTCTTTTTAGATTGAACTTGGTTGTTAGAATCAGTGGACTTGGTTAATGTTTATTTTTCCATTCCTTCAGTGTTTATTAATTTCATGGTTGGGTTTTAAATTTGGGTTTTTGGTGGTGTGTCTATACATGGGTTATGTTTCTATTCTTTATAGATTGAACTTAGATGCAGTTCTTTATATCTTTGTTATCAGGTTTTCCACATTAAAACATGAAAAGCGTATAGTTTGATTGGAAAACCATGCACTTGTTTGCAAAAACCATACCATATGTCATGTTTTTATTTGAATATCATAGACTTATTATGTTTTAATTGGAGAACAAGATAGGTTGTTTGTTCCTGCTTGGTTTCTGTCTTCCGTCTGCTCCTGTATCCCATTTTTTGTTTTGCTATTTATTTTCTTATTTTATTGGAATTAGTTAATATTAGTCAATATTTTATTTTTCCATCTTCTTGTTAGCAGCTTGTGGCGACAAGCCATTTTATCCTTTGTACCCTACTTTAGAGAGAAATAAAATAGGTTTGCCCAACGTATTCTTGGCAAAATTAGTAGCAAGGATGTCAGCACTGCATGATTTCTTTTTGCCCCCTCCTTTGTTTGTGGGTCGTTAATAGTTAATTTTGACTGGTCCTATCTTACCTCACTTAAACGAGCAGTTTGTAGATTGTAGTGTTTTGCAGCAATTTGTGGTAAACCTGAATTGATGTCTTGGCCAGATTTAATTTTTATCTTTATATTTGATTATTTTTCTTTTTTATTAAGGAAATATTGTTTAACATTAAATGCTTATTTACTTGTTCTGCAGGTTCTCCAAAGCACTATCTATGATGTTGACCTTGATCGCATACTTCAAAGCATTCATTTATACCTGCAAGATTTGGGGATGGAGGAAATTAGGAGAAGGTAAGCAGCCTATTTCTTTCCAATTCAAAAAAAAAAAAAATTACATAGCATGTGCAAGATTTCTGCCTATTGAATGATGATCACTTGATTTTTCTTTGAAAAATTGAATACGAAACTTGTGCAGAGCTGGTGCAGATGACAAACCACTGCGAATGGTCAAAACTGTTCTGCATGAGCTTGTCAAGCTTCGTGGAGCAGCAATAAAGGGTCATCTATCAATGGTTCCCATTGATATGAAACCTCAACCCATAATCCTTGCCTACATTGATCTAAATCTTGAGGTAGTCACTAAGATAAACTACTGGTTCATTATTTTACCTATAGAATTCTCTATACTTATTTTACTCTACAGACTCTGGCTGCTGCAAGAATGTTAACTGCAACTGGACCTGGAGGGCAAACCCATTGGGGTGATTCAGCGGCAAATAATTCGGCACCTGGCACACATTCAGCTGATGCCCAGTTGAAGGTATAACTGTCCTATATTTCTCAATATTAGCATCTAAAGAAAACTAGCTTCATTTCTGATGTTATGCATTCTTCAGCAAGAGCTGGCTGCAATATTTAAGAAGATTGGAGACAAGCAAACGTGTTCAATTGGTCTATATGAACTATATCGCATTACTCAATTGTACCCACAGGTATGTTTTTGGTATGTTAATGAATCCATGGTTTACATGAATTGCGATGGTTGCTGTTGCCTGCATCAGGTCAAAGGCTACCTTATTTTTCCTTATCTGGGTGAAATTTCTCTTGAAATATTTTGCTAGGTTGATATATTTGCTCAGCTTCAAAATGCGAGTGAGGCATTCCGTACTTACATCCGAGATGGTCTAGCTCAGGTTTTGTACTAACACTTGTCTGTATTAATTTCCCTTGAACTATGTTGCTTTAGGTGCACGATTATGAGTAAGAACGAGTGAACAATACGTGTTCTTGCTACTGTTTTGCAATAACAAGTTTTCACTATTTTGGCAGATGGAAAAGAATGCTGCAGCTGGAAGAACTCCTTCAAGTTTACCAATGCCTACTCCTCCACCAGCTTCCTTAAATGCTTCCTCCCCTGATTTTACATCACTCTCCCCTGTAAATGCAAATCCATTAAATGATGCTAAATTAAATGTAAAACCTGAACCAACATGTTTTAATTTGCCGCCATCATCATATAATGAAGAGAATAGAGCTGTTACTTCTAGAGCATTAAATGCTGACTATACATCAAATGAAAGATTTATGTCTGGAGGTATGCTCATAATATTGCTTCCTGTATTTGCTTTTAGATTTCAAATTCAAATGAAAATTCTTACTGACGAACTCATTTTGAACTACAGTAACTAGTGGAACATTGGATGCAATCAGAGAGAGGATGAAGAACATGCAATTAGCAGCAGCGGCTGGTAATACTGATTCTGCTCCTAGGCCATTAACAAATGTTAATGACAATTTGAACCATGGACCTGTTCCTGTTCCTGTTCAGACATCTGAAAGAGTTTCTAACGAGAATGCTTTGCAAGGAGTCCTTCCTATGGATGAGAAAGCATTGTCAGGCCTTCAAGCTCGGATGGAGAGACTCAAAAGTGGATCCATCGATCCTCTGTGAGCTTGGCTATCAAGAAGCTGATACAAATATTCACAAAAATATCATTGCTGGGATTTGGAGAGGTTCTTCTGGTTGACTTCCAATATTGGTGGCGTAGATGACTATAATAAAATCAACAGAGATAATTCTTGGATTCAAATTGTGGCTTCTTTGACATTGCAGAGCATGAGGATATTTGCTGTTGTGAAGTCTCATTTCACCACGAGATTCTACTTCTACCATAGGGCATTTGTATTTTGTATATTGTAGGGCAGAGCTGTATCCTTGTACAAGAAAATGTGTAGATGCGTTAATTTAATGCAAGCACACATTTATTGTTTTTCGAGCTTTGCTTGGCTGTGTATTGAGCCATTTTGGCATAGAAATTTTGACTCAGGATTGGTTGCAATCGTACAAATTACCATTGGGTAGTTTTTAATTGCCCCAAAAAAAAAATCCTACTGAACTTCTCGTTTTTATTTTTTATTTTTTTTAATATGGAAATTGAGTGTGATTATGGGAATACCTCTTTTGAATGATGCAGCTCGTGGTATTTGAGCAGGGATACTTCAGTCATGTAAGCTAAATGAGATAAGTAATAATCTTTTCGATGGTTTTATTTTTCATTCATTTTTGTGGCATTCTCACGTATGCAGGGTAGAAATTACAAAACTAGGGGTTTGATGGAAGCAAAGTAAAAAACCTGAGGTCAAATACACTTGTAAGTTTTCCTATTCATTAGCGTCTTTAAATTATTTTTTTAAGCAAAATTCTAAGCTTTTATTTTTCATGCATGTACACCTAATATCTTGAGCTTATTTAACTTCAACTAAAGGATTTATCGAGGCCTAAAATAATTTGGATCAAATAAAAATGAGTAACTTTTAAGCAATTTTCAAATGGCAAAGGTCTACCGCCGAGTCGGTGCATTCCTAAGGTCTACTAAAAGGATGGATTTACATCCTCGGTAAAAAGCCAACCCACCAGGTAGTTGAGGCTATGGTGTGTTAACAAGTACTAACATACATGACAACACAACTTATGGTGAAAACATTATATTTAACTTTACAATGCATTTTTTCCGTGATACTGCGGAAACGAAGCTTGCCCAACAAAATCAAAATCTTAGAGGCTAGATTCCGCAAATCTTCCTGGGGGAATAGAGTGTACCTTGGAATCTCTTCACATCTTTTCACCGGTCTTCGTGAAAAACAAATTGCACTCATGAGATCACAGAGGAAGATAAAGCGTATTTAAATGCAAAGAAATAAACACGTACCAACATCTCATGGTCACCCATTATTTCTTCTATTAACTCCTGAATTGGTTTATTGGCACTATTGGGAACAAGAGCCGCAAATACGGCTGGTTTAAGCCCTGCATAAAGGAAATAAGCTCATTTCTTAAGCAAACATATTTGAGCCTTGAATTACAAGCAAGAGATCAATAATCTAAGACTTTATGGCAACAGGGGCTAGAAACATCATCAAAAGAACTTTTCAAAAATGATTTTTTTTTTAAAGCATTTTGGAACAAAAATGGATACTTCCAAATAGGATAAATTTCCTTGGTTTACATTTTTTTTTTTAAAGCTTAGCCCGAGATATGTGAAATACTGGATGTTAGACAGAGGAAGTGAAAGGAACTCCAAACTTTGTATCTTGGAATGGATTAATATTCTAGGTGGCAATTTTAGATGATCTTTCAATGGTACAAATATTTTGGGACAAATAAAATTTTTAACTAATATCATAATTGGGAATATGATGAAAATTTCATTACCAGTTTCAGGGAAAGCATCTATGAACATCATCATCTCCTCCCCACTTAAACCAGATAAGAAGCATATCCGAGGCAGTGATTTATCAACCTGCAGAGCACAAAATGGTCAAAACAAGCATTGATTATAACAACTACATCATCCAAGTGAAATATTGATATGCATTTTGCTTCAGTCTAGAGAAGTGTTTCAACATGAGAAAAAGCATGAGCATAAACAACTACATCATCCAAGTGAAATATTGATATGCATTTTGCTTCAGTCTAGAGAAGTGTTTCAACATGAGAAAAAGCATGAGCAGATGAGAAGAGCAGAATGACATGAAGATCATGTAAAAATTGCAGATTTGTGGAAATACTCCTTAAAAATCACAATTTAAAGCTTATTCTTCTTTCAACATGACCACAACTCAGACCATCTTCTCAATGAAACTATAAAAAAGATCAGATGCCTAGTCGTGAAGGATTGGATAATCACTTTCAACTATGTGCTTAGAGAATTCAACAAATGTGCACATTGGCTTGCTCATCAAGCTCCGAATGACAATCTTGATATTTTATTTTTTGATAATCCATAGGGTGTCAAATCGTTATGAATATAGAATTGACTTAATTTTTTCTTCCTGCAAGCTATCCATGGCCATGTATTCCCCCCCCCCCAAAAAAAAAAAACTCTTCAAATACCCAATCCATCCAAAAACATTCATGAGCAGATGAGAGGAGCAGAATGACATGAAGATCACATTCGCTACTGCACAAAAGTACCTCAACTTCTTCCAAATTGGATTGTGTCGTATGCATTGCTTCCCAAAGAGAGCGAGTGACCATGCCTTTAGAACAAAAGATAACCTGCAAAGAGAAAAATTATTTCACTATTTTATTTTCTATAAAGAACTTAAATACACTACATTACCTTTACAAATTAGTCAGGGAAAATTGAGGAACATTTCTTTAATATTTTATGCAGCCTCCATTAGTTATGCCATTTGATTTCCATTATCTTATATAATGATGTCTTTTAAGAAAGAGGAGCTTCCTTCGTCCAAGGGTGAAAGATATACGATTATGATTAAGAAGACAATGAATCACTTCGATCTTACTTGGATGGGATAAAATGATTGTCAATTCAGATGTGACCATCTCAGTATAACAGTATTTGTAAGAAGCATCAGGCCAGACAGAAACTAAAGCACTCCCTTTTCACAGAACATTCGAGGAATACTAATTTGCCTTCTGCATAAAAATATCTTTGATATTTGAAAATACCCCTATTTTCATAGTTATTAAAGTGTAAAGATCATGCAATCCAATCTTACAAGAAAGACTAGAAGCACAATACTATACTGAGGAAAAAGCTGGCTGAAAACCTTTTTCATTTTTATCAACCTCATGTTCAAGTACAGTTATAATGCTTTATCTAAAGCTCTAGTTAGGTCAATGCTCATCCATGTTGAGGATTCTCCATAGAAATTTAACATTTTTTGTTAAAATAAAGCATCTTATTGGTGTAAGAAAAGGAGGGAAACTAAGACCCATTTCTCTCTATCTATATCATTAAGAGGAAATTTACTCCACATATATTTCTCGGTATGCCAATAGGGGGTGTGAACATGAAAAACATCATACGAAAAGTTACCTTCAGGAATTCACCATCTAACTCTTTCAGAAGCTGTTGAACCTGCACAAGGCCAGAATACCAATTAATATTTTTATTAATTGGCACGCGCAAAGTATGGACATATAACTTTGCTGAATTGGATTCTAATCTTGGCTTTATCAGATTTGTTATTGACCGTATATTGATAGTAACATTATAAGGTGGTATTTTTGCTGTGATTGAAAAAATTTGCAAGACCTTCAGAAGTAATTCCAGATCAATTAATTCTATCAGTAATTCAGATCATCACATAGAAAGCACAAACAATAATCAAGGAAGAATATTCTGAAGATTAAATTACAGAGACTGCAAAACCTATACAAAGACACAAAGATATCAAGCAGAAGGAGCAGAAGTAACTCTAAAAGCCTTGTTAAATTCTACTAGATGGATCATGATGATACTACCTTTAAAGCCTCGTCCACCTCAAAGCCCAATAACAATAAAGCCTGCAACAACATAGAAGAGTTATATTTTAAATTCATGTGAAATCAGAACAAAATATAGAATGACTCATTGTTAACAACTTAGACCACTCTGATTTCCAGGTGAAGTTATTGCCTCCTACAGAAGTGGGTTCAGATCCATGGGGAAATAAATGGTACATTTACACTCATTCATTTTCAAACCTTTGTGCAGAAATTGAATCTCTTAGGTCCCTGTACCGTTTTCAACAACTCAACGTAAGGTGACTTTTAGAATCAAATTTCAAATAAAAAGTGACATCCGAAACACGCATATCCGTTATGAGTTATGAGTATATGTGGGAAACTATGCACTCATGGAAAAAATATTAAACAGTTGATTAAGTGACATAAAATATTACACGATGGAGTCAAAACTAACCATGACTTACAGGTGGACCATAAGTGGGGTCATCAGCGTTCAAAGGAACAAACTTCGAGTCTTCAATCAACTCATCAGGAACTCCTGCAAGATCAAAATGCATTATTCTTTTTAGTCCTATTTATAAATCACTTCAAGCATTTTCACTGGAACCAAAAAAAAAAAAAACCTTAAACTCTATTCACCCTGTCTAAAAAATCAGCAAGTTTCTAATTTTACCCTGTTAAATATATCTACTTCAAAATAAAATACTCTAACAATTAATAAACTTTCCTACATTTAATAGGGGAAAAATAGTAAAGATGAATGTAATGATCATTGAAGTACCTAATAAATTGGACCAAAACAAACATTCTTGTTCTACCTTATAAATAAAACTAGAGGAATATTTAATAAAATGAGGATTACAACTTTGAAGGATGTGAGGAAATAATGACGTGTAGTTTCGAGCCTTCACTCTCCTGAATATACAAGAGCGGAAAACAGAAACATGCGAATATATCCAAAACTTTTTCAAGTGTCTTGAGAACAAGTTGCATATTAGAGTATGTTTTAAATAGTTAAAAATGCTGTAAATTCTTAGCAAAGGAAAAAAAAAAACCTAAATTTGACACCTTCGAATTCCTTTTTATGATACTTTATGTTCAATTGGAAGAATGAGTAAAGGAAAAATAATAATCTTGCAATAACTTCATTGTTGCCTTCTTGGGACACCCAATTCCAGATTCTGTCTGGGATTTGAAGTGAAAACACTAAACCACGAAAACTGCAGCAGCTCCAACCCCAGAATTTACGAGCAAAAATGTAATTTCCCGCCAGCAAAAGTCACAGAACATCTCAGAGAGTAGTAAAGCTCAATTAAACAAAGACGCATGTCTTAATTGTCTAAATCAAGATGAACCCGACGCTGAAATTCAAAATGCTAATTTCACCTTCAGCGGATGCTCTCTGGGTATTCTTGCGCTTAGATTTCGAAACCCAAGTGAAAGGGAAAGAAGACGAAGTTGAGACATGCAAGTTAACAAAGGAATGGGCAGGGGGTGAGGAGGGCTTTAGAGCAAAAGACGACAAACGATAATTGGGAGAAAATCCAACAAAGGATAACATGATTATGCAATCCAGTACTGTTTCTTCTACTCTGCACTTTACGCGGAGGCATTACAGTTCATAACGAACTAATTAACAGAAGGTAAAGGACATGCATCCAATACGCTCGCCGCCCATAGCCATTTATTATTTTTTTTAAAGAAAAATACCCTCATTAAAAAATATAAAATATTTTAATTAAATTTTATCTTACTAAAATAATTATTCATATTTAAATTAATTCTACCTTTTTATATTTATACCTATTTCACCATAAAAAATATAAAATTATTTATTTAATAGGATCACCTAAAAATAATAATAATTTTATTTTAAAAGATTAAAAATGCTTTAACACCCAATTTTTTAAAAAATATTTTATATTTTTTAATAAAGAGAGTACAAGATTACAAAAAATATAAAAAAATAATTAATTTATGGCATTGCCAACAAAGCTTTTACATTATAGGGGGAATTGCACTATAGGCCTTGAAAACAAAAAAAATGACACTTTGAACCTAATACATTTTGATATTGCACTACAAGCCCAACAGTTCTTGTTGTAATTTTTTTGGAAGCGAAAGTATAATTTTGTCATTATGTGATTTGAAAACTCAACCTGTGCAAAACCCCATCCTTGAAACACAACATAATATTTATAGATGCATAATATGATATTCATGAATTTTCAACATAATATCAATATGTGTTCAGTTGATCTATAGGTTAATTAAAATATACAAATCACACAAAATATGTACAATACAATGTTCATAGATACACAACACGATATTCATGAATTCTTAACATAATGTCTATGCCTATCCAGTTGATTTATAGATTAATTAAAATATAAAAGTCATGCAAAGCATGTACAACACAATGTCTATGAAAGTACAACATGATGTTCATGAAATTCTCAATACAGTATTCATGCATATCCACTTAATCTATTGGTTAATTAAAATATACAAGTCACGCAGAGCATGTACCACACAATGTTCATAAGTGTACAACACAATGTTCATGAATTTTCAACACAATGTCCACCGGTATCCATTCAATTGAGAATGCATAAACCTTGTGTTGTGTATCCATTAACATGGTGTTGCATATTATCTGCATCACTTGTACATTTTATTAAACTTATTAATCAATTAGACATGCATAAACATTATGTTAAGAATTCATGAATATCATATTGTGCACCATGGATTTTGTGTTGTATATAATTTGAGTTTTCAAATCATACAAGGATAAAATTATACTTTTGCTCTCAAAAAAAAATTGTAACAAGAGCTCTTGGCCTTGTAGCGTAATATCAAAATGTATTGAGCTTATAATGCAATTCTATCCGTTTTCAAAGCCCTTAGTGCAATTCCCCTTGCATTCTAAAAGTGGTCTAACTCTGTGTTTGTTTCAAGAGTGAGGTGTGTTTTCATATTATCTTATTTAGTTTTATTGGAGGGAAGGGAAGAAGAAAAGTTTCTAATGATATTTTGTTTGGTTCAAAGGAGGAGGGAAAGGAATCTACATATATCAACTTTTCTTTTTTAATTCTATCTTATATAAATTAATTTACACCAGAAAAAAATTTTAATTTTTCTGTCAGTTATTATTTTAATATTTTATCTACATATATTAACTTTTCTTTTTTGATTCTATCTTATATAAATTAATTCGCACCATAAAAAAATTAAATTTTTCTGTTAGTTGCAATGAGTTAATTCACGTTAAATTCAACACCAACTGCAATAAAAAATTAAATCTAACACTGACTTAAAAAATGAAAATATACCTAGACATAAAAAACAGTATAGATATAACCACGATCATTTTTATTACTATAGGCACTAAAACTCCATAAGCTAAGAAGCCAATCGATTATCATGCCCCTAAAGAAATGATAGCGAGAGCCTAACTAAAAATAATAAAACAAAACTACGAAGTGGCTTACAGAGGTAAGTTGTAATTTCTCGTGAATTAAATGGGGAGTCCTCGAAAGAAGTCAAGTTCAGGTCTTGTATGTTACGGATTTAGGCGGCAAAGACTTGGGTGAACCATGGACAGTCTACTTGCTGGAGAAGACAAAGTCCATGTGGGTTTGAAAGTAACAAAAGCAGAGATCTATGACAAGACGAACGGCGACAAAGGGAAACTCACTGGAGAAAGCCTGACTCACAGTGAGACGATGCTGAGACGACACACAATGGCAGTTTCAGCGACAGTGAGCAAAACGGCCAAGAGCATGGGAGTTTATTTCATTTGTTAGCAATGGACATTTATGGAATATGAAATAATTATTAAGGGCAAACTAGTCAGAATATTTGGCTTTCCTCCCAAAAATTCCAATATGGAGGGACCTTCCCTCCAATCCTAAATTATTGTTAGATACACGGCGAAGCTTAGCTAGGATTATAGTTATGGTTAACTACGAATCGAGTAATATTGTTATCAACACCTGGTACGTGTACCTCTCTCTTATGGCAATATTAATGCATATACTTCAAGTCGTCAAGATCCTGATACATGCATTCCAGTTTTTGTTTTTCTTAATTTATAAAATTATTTTAACTATATATTAAAATTTATGCACTAGTTTATAATAAAATATTATAGTACTGATTTTATTAAAAAATCTCTCAATTTATAGGAATAGAATGGATATAATAAGAAATACTAGAGTTGGAAAAATGAGACAGCCCTTAACGGGCTTGGGTCTAAAAGAACAGGGTTTAAAAAGCTCATTTTTCTTTTGAGGTATCAAATTGCAGGGCCCAGCCCTTGAGATAGTGGGCTTAGGGCCGGCCCTGTTATTTATTTTTATTTTTTTGTTAAATTTTTTATCAAATTAAATAGTAATACTCCATTTCATTCCACAATTCAAAAATCTCATACCAATATATAGATCAAGAGCACAACCATATCAATAAACAAAATGACAACAATCAAAATAAAACAACTAAATAAACCATAAACACAAACAAAATAATAGCATCAGAATGATCAAACGAGATAAACTATAGACACAAGTCTGACTGAGAGTAAAACTGAGAATGATGGAAGAATAAGGAAAAGCAAATCAGACTACGGTTCTATTCAAGCAAGAGGAGGACTTGATAGATGCTGTCATTTGAGTCTTTGAGCTTGGCGAAGAACTGTCACAAACGAAGGAGCACAATGAAGCATAGTCGCAAAAAAAGGAGCACCATTAGGATTTGGGTCATGCTATTGATAAAGAGGAATAATGAGAGATGAGCATAACTCACATGAACAAGAGATAATGTAGACTGGAGAGTTAAGTTAGGAGATTTAGGTTTAGTTGTTTTTTTAATGTTTTTTTCTTCTATGCAGATATAGGCTAACATGTATAGATAGATCATGCTTAAAATTTTTGTTAAGTCCAAAAGTCTATCAAAAGTTAATCATTTGAATATAAAAAAAAAGTTACGAGGGTAAAGGCCAGCCTGTTTATTTTCAAGCCCATTAAGGCTAGCCCATTTAAGCTCGAATTACATTTGAAGGGTCTTAATTGCAAGCCCAGCCCTCATATTAAACAAGCTTAAACAGGCTAGCCTAACGAGCTGAGATCATATTCTATATATTTATTACTCCCTCACATCCTAAATATAGGAGAAAATATTGATGGGTCGGATATTATAAGCCCAGTGCATATGGTCTATCTAACCAGTGATCGAGTGAGTGATACAATAGTAACAAAGACCCAATTTTAATTAGGCTTGTAATGGGCTTCTCCGTTTGAAAGCTTTTCTCTTGATTAAATTTTTTTCTTACGAATAATATACTCTATTGGAATTCATGAGGGGCTTGTGGAAAAAGTCTACTCATAAACTTGAAAGTTGTATTTGATAGTACAAGGCCCAATTTAGTTGCCTTGATACGATATATGAGAATGAATCTCGATTTCTTCATCTGAAGACTTTAGGTCTTGACTCCCTAAAATGTATATCAAGTGTTAGAAGATCAGGAGGGTTACTTGCAATGTGGAATAGTGATCACTGTGAGGTTAGTATTATTGAAGAAGACAGGCAATTTATTCATCTTTGTTGGTCTATTAAAGGAGGGGACAAGTTCCTCACTACTACAATTTATGCACTGCCACACTCCAACTTCTAAGAGTCTTTATGGCAGCAACTTTATGATTTGAGCACAAATATCTCTAATCCCTAAGTAGTGTTCAGCGATTTTAATGACATTGTATCACCAGATGAAAAAATTGGTGGAAGCCAATATCACTTAGCTAGAATTAGATGGTTCAAGGAAAAAATTAATGATTGCAAATTGACTAACCTAAGGTCATGTGGGCTGAAATTCACTTGGAAGGGTCATCACTTAATAGGATTGACTAGATTTTATCAAAGATCTGATCGGGCACTAGCAAATAATCATTTTTAACTACTTTCCAAGATTGTTTGGTCAAGGTATTACCTAGAACTCTATTTTCTTATCATAATCCTAAATATCTTAAGTTGCGTGAAGATAAGCAAGCTCTTACTAGTAGAAAGCCTTTCCATTTTGAAGTTATGTGGCTGAAACATGAAAATTTCAAAACTTTCCTCAGGGAGAATTGAGGTGGGGAACATGACTTAAGTTTTAATATGTGCAATTTTAAATCTAATATCCTTGATTGGAATAGAGAGATATTTGGTTTAATGGAGAAGAAGAAGAAACAGATTATGGCAAGGTTGAATGGCATACAAAAAGCATTATCGTACCCTTACTCTATGTTCTTGAACAATTTAGAAAAGGAACTATATAGAGATTTTGATGAAATCTTGAAACAAGAAGACATAAAGTGGTTTCAAAAATTGAGAGCTGATTGAATCAATCAAAGTGACCAAAACACTAGATACCGTTACTTGAAGACTACTATAAAGCAAAGAAGAAATAGAGTCATTGCTTTGAAAAATAATTATAGTGATTGGGTTGAAAATGAAATTGACTTGCAGGATATGGTAATTAATTTCTTCAAACAACTCTAAGGCGAAGGCGAGGAGGATTATCATGAACTAAAGACTGTAACCTCTTTCCTTAGAGACTCTCAAATGTTGATATGTAATTTAGCAGCTTTACCTTCTGAAG